GTTTGATGACAGAGGTCAGCGGCTGCAAAGATTCCAAAGCGATCGTTTTACATCCATTAGAAAAATTTTACATTCGAAGTAAAACTGCAAAAGATGGAATTCAAATTAAAAATCAAAATTGTGTACGATAGTGGGACCTATTACATGATTAATGCTATACCATACTTAGGAAAAGGGACTGATACTGAAGGTTTGCCTTTAGGTGAATATTACGTGTTGACGCACACAATTAGAGGATCAAACAGGAATATTACAACCGATAACTGGTTTACATAAATTCCTCTACCAAAAACTCTACAACTTGGGCCATATAAATTGATGATCGTTGGTTCACTTAGAACAAATAAAAGAGAGATTCCTGGAGAATTAAAACATAGCAGAACCAGCCCTTCAATATTCTGTTGCGACGGACCACTTACTTTGCTATCCAGGAAGCCCAAGCTATTGAAAGTTATTTACATGTTGCCGTCTTGCAATGAGGAGGGCAATATAAGAACATGCTCTTAAAACCACACATGATACAATTTTATAACTTTACTAAAGGAGGTGTAGATACTTTTGATCAGATGTGCTCTAATATGTCGATTAACCGAAAAACTAGTAGATGGCCAATGTGTTTCATCCACGGAATGATCAATATTGCTTATATCAATAGCTACATTATACAGTCTCACAATTTATTACTGGCAGAACGAAAAGTAGTTCCACGGAGGGACTTTATGAAAACACTTCATCTTCAACTTTTAGAACCTTGGCTCAGTCAGGCGGACCAAAACGATACCATCCCAACTAAAGATTAGTAGCATTTTTTCTTTGCCACCAACTACTAGTCAAGGCCAGAACCCATAAGAATAAGCTTCTATTGATGAAGAAGAGTCATCAACTTCTTCAAGAAAAAAAAACCGAAAAAAAAATTTTGTGTGGCAAGTATCACTACAAGAAAAAGCGTATGACTAAAAGTATTTGCACAAACTGTAAGATGGCTATATGTAGAGTCCCATACAAAATATCCACTTGTAGCCGATAACAATAACATAGCAAGATACAGATTTTTACCATCTTCGGAACAATCTTAGGATGGTAGATGAAAATGCTGTTGCAACAGAGGTAAAGGAAAAAGATCGTTTCTGGAAAGTACTCTCTCTCTCTGTGATGAAATTCGCAACAAATGTTTGCAGTATGAAAGTCCGACCAATGTCAGTATCGATGATCAAATTATTCCCTTTGAAGGACATGTTTCTAAGATACAATACGTCGAAGGCAAGCCTAATCCTGTGGGCATAAAAAATTTCGTTATGACGTCAACAAATGGCTTGCCTTCAGACTTTTTACTGTAAGAAGGACAAGGTAGAAAGATAAAGTCAAACAAAGTCCCTATACCTGTAAAGCTGGATATTGGCGGTAAAGTTGTGTTGAAATTAGTTAATACCCTACAAGATAAAACGCATATCTATATGGATCGCTATTTCACCTAAACAGCTTTGTTCGATGAACTGTTGAAACATTTCTTGAAGATCACATAGAGATATATCGAATAAAGAACAATCACAAATTACTGAAAGTATATCAGATAATGTTTAGTCTAAAAAATGTGTCTTTATGGAAAATGTTAAAATTGCACGAGACAAGTATGCCAATTGCGTAATCGCATTAAAATCTAAAAAAACAAAATGAAATTAAATATTTTACCTGATGACAATGCAGTAAGGAAATTGTTCGAGAAAATAAGACCAACATTGGCACTGTTATTACAAGGAAGAAATCTTTGTCTTGGGAAGAACCAACAAGAAACCAAGCGGGACTTTTTAAAACATATTTCACTTTACAATAATTTATTTTGTACAATTTTTCTTTCATAAAACATTTAAAATTGTTTGATGACAAATTTTGTACATATTCTGGGATTTTGTTGTAAAAGCGTATATATTGCCCTATAAATGAATTACTAATGGTGTGGAGTCTATATATACCGGGTGTCCGGTGGCTATCTTCACATTTCAAAGTGTTGTAACTTAAGAACGCAAACAGCTGGAGGGGCGTGGGGTGCGGGGTTAGATTCGTCAGCGTCGGGAGTTTTTAGTCGCCATGCCGCGTTGGTCGGGAGAGGAGAGGAGCGCGCTTTTGTGATGATATTTAACACATACAGTGCCAATTACACGGCGCCGTGAAGATGTGCGCGGCCGAACACACGGCGCCGTGGAGGGGTGCGGGGGCCGGCTACACGGCGCCGTGGCTCGCGCCCGTACATTTTGCATGCGTTAGTATCAGGCTCTACAATCTTAGAACATAAAACTTGGAAACCTACGAAATGCTATTATGCAAAATTAAGACGCACTTAGTAAACTATTTAAAACCATATCTATTGACTACTTTTTATTTTAGTCGTATTATAAAATCGTATTTATTCCAACCTACAATAATAGGTGACACTGTTCGAAATTTCAAGCGAATAATTCGTTCATCACACTATTATATACTAGATCTAGTATGTCTCATCTATCAGGTAGCTTTACAAAATCTTTAAAAAAAATAGTTCTATTTAGTAGAAAATAAGTGTAACAGAAATTAAGATATTTGCTTTTGTTTAACATTAATATAAAATCTGTAATGAAAATTTTTGAAATTTTCTTATAAATAAATACTGCTTACATATGCTTTCGTAAAACTATTCATTAAAAAATTCAGTAACTAGATGTTTTTGATATTTTTTTGAAACTGAATCTGGCAGCACAACAACCTGCCATTATGGAATAGTTTTATTCACGTTTCCCGCTACTTGTTTCTCGATATTGGAGTTGCGAATAACTAATATTTTATTTTATTTGGTGGAGTTGCTCCTATTTTATGAAAGTGTTTTTATGTTTTATTTTTTTTGTTTTATTTTATCTATTATATTATTTACGTTGAATTGAGCTACCTATTATTCTTACAACTTCATTTCCAACGATTTGTTTTTTTGTGATATCTTGTCTCCATTGTTACATAGAATAAATAATTTAAATAATTATGTCAGATAAGCGTTGCTGTGTCCCCGGATGTAAGGACAGTAAGGGTAAGTCATCTCGTCTCCAAACAACTTGCATCAAGGGCATTATTTGTCTTAGGCTTTAACACATAAGTATGACTTTTTTTAAATGTATCTTGTAAATATTTTAGGCAAGCTAGTTCTTCACAGATTTCCAAACCCAGAAAAGGAAAGTGAACGATTTAGGGTATGGATTTATGCAATTGGCGGTGATATACTAGGCCTCGAAAATATGCACATATTCAAGTATCGCCGTGTGTGTCACTCACATTTTGAAGAAAAATTTCAATGCAGAAATAACAGAATTAGTAACATTGCTGTGCCAACTTTAAATATGCCAGGTTTGTCATTATAGATTACAGAAAAAGTAAATATGTTATAGAATTAATTCAGGACAGTATATTATCAATGACATGTATAGTTTTATTGTAAAATATGTCTAATTGAGTAGGTACCTACATAGCATTAATTTTTACAATGATTCATTCATTAAATAAATAGAATAAAATGAAATACTACTTATATGCACTATAGAGCTTAAAAGGATAATACATGTGGCGATTCCGGCTGACAGAAGGATGAGGATATGATAATTAAGCCTAGTTTTCATAAATATTAAGTTGGCAATGTGTTATCACCCCACTTTTTCTACTTTTTTTCATTAAATAATGTTATATATTATTATTATATTGTGAAATTATACTTTTTGCAAGTCATCACAGATACTGGGCCTGTTTTTTATTGCCATATATATAAATAATTTCAAAGTTAATCCTATTATTTTCTTTTAGCTACATTATCAAATAAACCAGCAGTTATGAAAAGAAAACCCATGAAAGAAATTTTGAACCTAGCAGAACCGTCAACATCAACAGGTACTGATATATATGATCATATATGTATTATCATGATTACAGCACATCACAAGTCCACAGCTGAACATAGTATGTGACCTTTTCAAGGGGACTTAATATACATATGAAAAAATGTTAATTTATTTAACTAAAAAAAAGAAAGAAGTTTCCAGTAGAAAGAGTTGAGATGATACAGAAGTTCCTAAATTTGGATTGACTTAACTAAGAGTCTAAAATATATACTATATATTGTTATATGATAACTAAAAATCCATAAAATTAAACACAATAAAATCTCTACAAATATAATGGAATAATCTAACATAAAATTTATAAAACTTATGTACATGTTAAATAACTTTAATAAAATTTTAATAAACCTCAAAACTAATAAAAGAGATGATTGCCTTCAGATGGCTGAACGGCTTATCTCTTGATCAAGTCACCTGTCAACAAAAAAAAGCTAAATTATATTCCATCTGTTTGGCCACTATGATGCTTTAGACGGACACACAGATACAAATGTTTAATTTATAACACCCCTCTGTTTTTATCTTTTAAATTCAAAAAGCGTGGTAATGCATTATTTTAACTGATATTACTGTGCACGCACTCATTTATAAGGGTCAATCTGTAGACAAAAACATGGTGTCCCATAAATCACGTTCAATTTGGGATAGATGCAAATAAAATTAGAAGCCTTACTTGCTCATATTTACAAAAACTGCAATAATGGTTTATCATTTATATATTTGAACTTAATTTAAAATTTAGCTACTCTTTAAACAATAACCTGTATACTGCACAAAATAAATTACAGTTAAATTCTTTTTCAATTTAACAATTAAATAACTATGCAGCTGTGATTGTGCACTTGAATATTTGCAGCGCATTGCCTGGCAGGGTCGCCATGTAATGTTGGTAAAGATGTTAACGAGAGGAGACACATTGATCCGTCTATTACTTTAATTAAACAACTCATATTCTAAACTTAACACTGTATTGTTGTGGGAGTTACACTCACTCCACTGAGAAACACCCATTTCTCCTAACCCCCTAGTGATATATTTATTTTGGTTCTTTAAATCTTTTCTTCTTTTGAATTATGAATTTCGTTTCAGATCATTACTCTGAATGCTCGGTACATCAATTACATACAAAAATGGAAGGAAATACATCTCACAAAGAAAATCATGGTTAGTCAGAATTTTGATGGCATTTATTAACAGTTTCAATTTATTGAACATAAGATATAAACTTTTATTATAATACAAATATATATACAAATATATATATATATATATATGTGTGTGTGTGTGTGTTGTTTGCCGAAGTTGATCCGATTTAAATGAGCCAATCAGAGCACAGAAAATGATAAGACAAACGATCGGATTGGCTGAAAGCAGCCGCGACGTTGCCGTTTCGTATCTTTGGCGGTACAAGCTACAGATTAAATGCGTGTTCAATACAATAAAGCATTCAGGGTGCTGTTGGGTCTGCCTCGTTACTGTAATGCGCCGGGTTTGTTTGCGGATGCGCGTGTGGATTGTTTCTACACCACCATGCGTAAACGATGCACATCCCTGGTGCGTAGGGTGCGGGCCAGTTCTAATGGTATCCTGAGGGCATTTTCTGGCAGGTTTGAGGTCATTACCTGAACCATTGTCATATGGTGTACGTGCTGACTAATTGGACCTGTCTTAAATATAGTTTTAAATAAATAGTTTTAAAATTAAGTTAATAGTTTCAAGTTTAACTAAAATTAGTTTTAAGATTTGTATTATTACTAACATCTATGATCCTTATGGTCGAAATAAACGACTTTTTTGACGAATAACTCGACAACGACAAGATATTCGCCTGAGTGCGTGTTTGTGTGTGTGTGTGTGTGTGTGTGTGTGTGCGCGCGCGCGGATGTGAGCATGTGCTTGCGCATGTGGGTGTGTGAGTTTATGTGTGCGTGTGGGTGTACGTGCGTTCATGTGTGTTCGTGTGAACGCGTGTGTGTGCGTGTGTGTGCGGCAGTGTGCGTGTGTGAGTGTGTGTATGAGTTTGTGCGTGTACGCATGTGTGCATGTTTGCACGCGCTTGCGTGTTTGTGTGTGTGTGTTTACCATAAACCAGTTAACATGTTTTCTACATCTTCATAATCAAGATTTTTAAGGACGCGTTTACAAAATTGATAGGTATAGAATCGAACTATTACATGAGATATTATCATCCCAGGAGTCCCCTTTTTTACTGGAAATGAGGCATTCCATCTTAGTCCTACGCACAACAACAATTTGACAACGACATTGCATTTTGATTTTTTAATTGAGGATAAATGTAGATGTCTATGGGCTACAACATCCACTTACCATCAGGTCGATTGTGTGCTCATTTGTCACAAGCGCCTGTGTAAAATCGTGGCTAAACTATTACATTAATATAAAGTAGCAAAGGAATAATTATAGAAGTGAAAGAAAATTAACTAATTTTTCAGATCCGGTTACTGCGATGAAAACACCTGTGATATCAACAAATCCTGTAGTTATAAAGAAAAGGGCTGAAATGGTTTTAGGTATGGTTTATTTTGATTGAGAGTTAGAGAGATATTTATATATCATATTTGATATTTGTTCTGACAGATAATATTTAATATTTATTTGTATTATTTTTTTTTTGCGTTTGTAATCCGGTATCCGCCATATGAACTATTTTGTGCATGAACGTAAAATAAATACCTAACTAATTTAAAGAATTTACATTAGACAAGAGCCAGAGCCGTGGTAGCTCAGTGGTTAACGCTCGCTGTAAATATAACAGAACGCGAGTAACTCGGGTTCGATCCCCGCCGGCACCAATGAAATTGTTAATTGCAATTTTAAGTGCTGATTTACCACGTGCTCGGCGGTGAAGGAAAACATCGTGAAGAAACCTGCATGTCTGAGGAATAAGAAAAAAAAATATTTCGAAGACATGTGAAGTTCGTCAACACGCATTTGGGCAGCGCGGCGGACACTTCCTTGCCCTAAACCCTCTCAGAAATGAGGGGGAGGCCAGAGCCCAGCAGTGGGACGTATATATAGGCTGTAACTTTACTTTTTTTACATTAGACAATAGGTACAAAAATTGCCATTAAAGTATTGGTCACTAAATTTAAAAATATTTGATTCAAGAAGGTCAATTTGCAACACAACTAATAAATACTTAATGATGTTTGTGGCGTGTTGCAATAAATGTTTCTTTCTTAAACAAAACCAGTTGATATATTTATTTATTTCTAATTTTTAAGGAGGAACATTAGCAGTCAAGAAAAAGACCAAAAGGGTATTTCAGACCAAGGTTGAAAAAGAGCTGCTTAAGCAAATTATAGCATCTAAAATAAAAATCAGTAAAATGAAAAATATAATTGCGAAACAGAAAGCTCAAATAAAAGCAGCAAAAAAGTTTGCAACAAATCCTGCAGTTTTAAAAGTTTTAGACAATTGTTCCAGTACTGCGAAAATTTTAATGCAGTTACAGTGGCGAGAAAATAAGAAACAAGAAAAAGGACGACGATTTACCCTGCCAGAGAAGATTGCTGCTTTGTCAATATTCAAGCAAAGCCCCAAAGGATATCGGTTTTTTAGAAAAATATTTATTTTGCCTGCCCCTCAAACTCTCATTAAACTCATACAGAGGAGTAATCTCCAACCAGGACTTAATAAAAATATTTTTTCCCAGTTAAAAAATAAAGCACAAACTATGAACACAGAACAAAAATTATGTATTCTGTTATTTGATGAAATGATGTTGAAAGCTGATGTTACATTTAATGAGAGAAAAAATAAAGTAATAGGGTTTGTTGATAATGGACAGCAACGAAAGCCAGAGTATGCAGATCATGTCCAAGTTTTCATGATTCGTGGGCTGATCCACAATTATAAACAAGCTGTGTCTTATTCGTTTTCGTCAAGTGCAACAAAAGGACCAGAATTAGCGAATCAAATAAAAGAAGTAATAACAGAGATACAAAAAGCAGGATTAATTGTGGTGGCTACAGTATGCGACCAAGGCACAAATAATAGACAGGCTATAAAACTTTTGATGAATGAAACTAGGGGTAATTATTTGAGAAGAGGGGAAACTCCTAAAGATAATATTATGTTGATAAATAATACTGAGATTATTCCTCTGTATGACCCTCCACATCTTCTTAAAGGCATAAGAAATAATTTATTAACCAAAAATTTAAATTTCACCGTAGATGGCGTGATCAAAACCGCCAAATGGTCTCATTTGCAACTTTTATACAAAGAAGATCCGGGGTATAAAGGAATACGACTAATTCCAAAACTAACAGAAGCCCATATTAACCCATAAAAATTAAACAAAATGAAAGTCAAATATGCTTCACAGATTTTCAGTCGCACTGTATCATCAAATATGGGATACCTAGCAGGTATAGTCAATGTATTTAGTTCATATATCTTGTATGAATGTTTTATTGTTCTTGTTAATCCAAATGAACATTTGTTTCACAGATAAGGGCATACTTCCAGAAGAGTGCAAAGACACGGCTGATCTGCTGCTTTTCATGGATAATATTTTCGACTCAATTAATGGCAGTTTTAAAAAGAAAAGACATGCTAAACCTCTACTTGGAGCTGCAACACCTCACTCCATACATCACAAAACATGGATGGATGCCAAAAAAGTTTTTGCGTCTATGAAATTTATATCTTCCACTGGGAGGGAAGAATCTATTCCAACTGTGACAAATTGGGTGTGGACACTAGAAGGGATCGAAGTTTTATTAAAAAAATTGGAAATTGATCATGGTATTACATCAGTGTGGTTGCGTCATCTAAATCAGGACCCACTGGAAAATTTCTTTGGTGCGGTTAGAAGCCATGGGTGCCGCAATATTAATCCAACTTGTGACCAATTTGAGTCAGCTTTTACTACACTTTTGATTAATAATTTATCTAGTGTCCACACTCATGGTAAAAACTGCGAGCTCGATTATTGTAATGCCTTGCATACTCTCATCGTTATTGAAAACTCAGAGGCATCGTCAACCTGCACTTTTGATTTCACAAAAATTTTAGAAATAAACTTCACACCAATTACATTAAAACTAAACAACCCCCCGTATAATTGCGCCATTACAATATGTTAGTGGATATTTCTTAAAAAAAGCAAAAACTCAAGTTTTTAAACATTGTGTTAACTTTAAATATGACCTTACTTCTGAAGAAGAAATAGAATACATAAAATACAGAGAATATGCGGGTGGCTTTGTACTCCATGCAATGATTTGATTTAATCAATTTCAGATATGCGGGATATAGTCAATCATATTTCAAAGGACAATTTTGAAAATGATCAGTTAAAAGAAATTATGAAAACAAGCATATTGTTATGAGCTTGAGGTTGACATATTAAAGTTTCTTCGGATTATTATTTTATATACTTTAATTGATTTCGATTTTATGAAATGTAATGTGCATAAAAATAAATTAGTTGATTATTTGATAAATATTGTGATGTGTTGTCTGATTTTTAATAGTTTTAAAAATAATAATAGAATATTGACTGGGAGAAAAGAAGTAGATGATGATGAGAACTATTTCCAAATTAAAGCCCAAAGGTTAAGAAGTAAACTTTTTAAAAGAAAGAAATAATTACTCTTGTTGCTACCAAAATTGAGTTAATAATATTTAATTACTGTTACACATTTTATATATTCATGCGTTCTAAACTGATTTATCAATGATATGTAATAATAAATACGCTTAAATTGAACCACCAAATTATAAAAGTAAGATTAATGAGTCTTATTTTTTTTATACAAATGTATTTTTATAATTAGCAGATATGTCGTTATTAAATAGGCTAGATATAATCTATGAGTCTATAGAATGCATTATTACAATATTCATCAAATAATTTATTTTTAAACACAAAGTCTATTGCTAAAGGTTGGTGATACCATAGAATACTATAATACACAATAGAATGGCTGTATTTTGTACGAGTTTGCTTTATTTTGTACGAGGAAGGGCGTTGACAAACCCGATTCGCTGTGTTGACAGAGTGAATCTCATTAAAAAAAATCGTTTAACACACACATATTTATTCGTAAATAGTGTGCAATTTGGCATTTTCTAAATAATTTGCATGCAAAATTTGGAAACCATTGTAACCGTCAAAACACATATCGTGTTGACATTTATACGTGTGAATTGACGTATTAGTGACATTTTAGTGGCTACGCGGGCTCCGCCCACTCCCCCGTTCTATTATCTATGTATTATGGTATTCTATGCGTGATAGTATGGGAATATTTGCCACAGTATATCAGGTGGGTTGGCAACGGCAGCATATCTTGCGCCCTCCTTTCTGCCTGCGCCCTCCTTTCTGAAGGAGGGTCGTATGGGATGTAATTAGAATTACAAAAGGTTGAGTTTAGTGGGTAAGTTGAGATTTCAACCTCCCTCCCCCGCTTTGGGGGTTGCCTTTTGGGAAAAAAGGCAGATTTTTTTCCGAAGAGGCTGCTACGCATAGCTCATGTTTTAGAGTAGCAAATTCTCTTACGCCGTCACGACTTATTACACTACAGGGCATACAGCGCATAATTTTTTGTATTACATATTTTATTCAAAAAAGTGTTAGAAATAATGCAAAGAAGCATAACTTATTTTGAGCTTTAAATTATTTGATATAAGTCATTATATAATGTGAGTTTAAGAAGTCTTCATTGCTAGATACTGCTTTAATTTTTTTTCAAATATTCATTATTATATAAATATTATTGCTTGAATATTTGTTTTTGTCAATATTCGATTCGATTTTAATGGAGCAATATAGAGAATTGCTTATTTGATTGGCAATTGGTTTAAAATTCATTTCAAAAATTATAAATCGCCGCAATTCCAAAGGACCTAAATTTTACTATCATTTCAATTTAATAATTAAAAAGATTAAGAAAAACAAATATTCAAGATTGGATTTGATTTTAATTTGATATAGGCCGAATATGGTTGTCACCGAATACGAATATTCGGCCGAAAGTTCAGTAAAACTTTTAGCGAACAGAATATTCGGCCGAACATTATTCAACGGGATCACCTCTGTAACTAACCAATTATTAATATATCTAAACTGACGACCAAATTAAAGTGAAATGTACTAATTTAATTTAATGTTTTCTTTGTTTGATTCCAAAAACATTTTATCAAACTTTCTATTTGCTATAATCGGAAATAAATCTAAAGTACCTCGAAAACATAACATTTCAAGTAGACTTAACCCATAAATAAAATATACTTTCAATAGTAAAATTATGAAAGACATGACATTACTCAATTCGTACAATTCAAGTGGACATTTTTAGTACCATTTAAACGAATATTCGGTGATTTAGCCGCATATTGCCAATATCTTCGTCTCAATTTAATGGAGCAATAATGTAGAATTGTTTTAGCAATTGGTTTCAAATTTAAATGCAAACGATCTCAATTTATGACGATTTTTTTTTAGAGTTGGTGAGATTTTTTTGTTTTTTTTTCGCTTTTTTGTTTTGTTTTGTTTTTTAGGTCATAACTATTATTGTATTTGTGTGCTGTTTTTTAATAAATCCTGTAAATATAATGTTAGTTTTATTTATTTTGATTTTAATTATCAATATCCATGATGAGAACAATAATATTTATACGTAGGTGCTACATATACATATATATATATATATATATATATATATATATATATATATATATATATATATATACGGCATGTGCGTATATATAAGCTTATATTTATAGATATTACAATAAAGTTGCTAACTTTGGATACTAGAGGCGCTAGTTATGCATTGCCATTTTATAGGTCGAAGATTGGTCTCTATTTCAGTTTATACAAAGGTACTCTGTGGTTAGTATTCCGACGGCTCTTGCGAAGCGCACACGTTTTTTAGTTGGCCATATGCTCGAATTCAAGAACTTGCGAAAACCGTTTTCGGATTTTTATTTGTGTGACCGGTTCTTATTATATGAGCCTTTGAAAATATACAATTTTCGCGCCAAAATGAGCGATAAGCCCGGGTCTTCAAAGCGCTCTAGTAAAACAAATATACTGACTTCTCGTGCTAAAAAAACGCCGCACAAATTTTTTTTCTGATGAGAGTGATTGCTCTAGTGAGGAAGAAGTTTTCTCGCAGTGTAGTGATGGGAATAAGGAATGGGAAGAGGAAGAAGAGACGGAATCCAGTGATGAGAGCATACTTGATTCGAGCAAGTCTTGCAAAAATAGACTTGCAGTGAGCCGTGACACTTTAGAACTGTCACATAAATTACCGCAAAAAAATCAAGTGGGTAGCAATGAAGTGATGCCTTCCCGTCAAATATCGACAGAAAAGGACAACCCTAACTCACCGGATGTGATACAAGATTATGGCATGTATCCTGACATTCCTGACAATTTATTGGTAGACGTTGATACAACACCATCTGTATCGTTACTAAGGTCATTGGCTCCCACTCCAAACTTGTCAATTCAGGAAATCCCCACACTTCGTAATGAAAAAGTTGCCAGTTCCCCTACGCCGCCGACACTTTCCTCTAGACATGAACCTTCACAACCCGAGGACCAGCAGCCATCTCAACAAGGAGCCACTTCGTATTGGACTTCCGATGGTACATTGAAGATCATAGATTTTACTAAAACTCAAGAGTTATTAGTTCCAGCTCCATCAAGTCCATATGAAGCATTTCGGTTACTTTTGGACGATGATTATTTGGATATGATTGTGCATGAAACTAACCTCAATGCATTAAGAGTTTTAGGACAACCTGGTTTAACCGAAAAATCCAGAATAACTCACTGGAAAGATTTAGACCGCGAAGAATTAATTACATTTTTAGGTTTACTGCTTCACACAGGTACAATTCGCCTCAACAGACTCAACGACTATTGGAAGAAGCATTGGTTATTCAGTTTATCTTGTTTTAGTCAATATATGTCCCGGAACCGATTCATGCTAATCTTACGATGTCTATATTTTACATCAGAACCAAGCGATGAAGATAGGCTGGCTAAAATTCGTCCAGTTATGGACCATTTCAACAACACAATGAATGCTATTTATTATCCCGGAAAACAGCTTTCTTTGGATGAATCTATAGTGTGTTGTGGCGTGGTCGTCTAGTGTTTCGCCAGTTCATCAAAAATAAGAGACACAAGTATGGTGTTAAATTGTACGTTCCGGCTGAGCCTGATGGTACAGTAATAAAATTTCTGATATATGGTGGTGCAGGTGATGAGACCGTCGGAGTTGGACACACTCCAAAAGTTGTTCTGAAGTTGCTGGAAGAAAAACCAGATTCTGGTCAAGTGTTTGTATGAATAATTATTACAATTCGTATGATTTAGCAGTAAAACTGTTGGATCGTCAAAATTATTATAGTGGTACCCTTGGTAAAACACGAAAAGGAAATCCTATCGAACCTGGCACAGTCACATTAAAAAAAGGAGAAAACAAATCTTTATTTTTGAATAACGTACACAACGGGAAATGGAGAGATAAGCGATATGTGCTTTATTTGACAACGGAGCACGAAAATGAAATGATTGAAGTTACGAATAAAAGACGACAAATTACTGGAAAACCTTCAGCAATCGTGCACTACAACAACTTTATGTCAGGAGTTGATCTCAAATGCTGTCCTACTATCCCTGCGAGAGGAAGACTATGCGCTGGTATAAGAAGTTATTTATACATACACTGCAAAAGAGCCTAAGCAACTCATTTTATTTATATAACAAGTTTTCTGCAACGATTAAGATCAATTTGTATGATTACCGTCTTTCAATTTTGGAGAAGATGTTACCTAAACAAAATGTGTTAACGAAGACACTGGTCATGGAGCACAAACTAACCAAGATAGAAACGGTAAAGATACGTGAGAAAAAGGAAGGAAAGCGTACACGAACAATAAAAGAAGTAGTGAGGAAAGAGTGTAAGGGTTGCAGAGGAAAGAAAAAAAGAACAGCAACGCTCTTTGAATGTAAAGGTTGTCCAGACGCGCCCCAGGGTATTGTACTGAATGTTTTTGCGAAGCTCATTCATAAGTTTGATATATAAGTACCCACTACTGCCATTTTTATAAGAGAACAGTAGGAGATTATTGATTTGTTTTTCCAGATTTCTTTGGTTTATTTTTGATAGAAGCTTTTTTATTTGTTTTTCGAATAAGGTTTTTGGTTTGCTCTTTATAAAGGTATTTTTTTTTGTTTTTTACAAATTTATTTTGCCAAAAGTTTCTTGATTTATGTTCCTAGTAGTATTTTGTTTTGGTAGTATATTTTAGTTTATCATTTGTTTTTACAAGACAATTTTGATGTGGATTGCACTTTTATAATGTACGAACAAAAGGAATAAGAGAACTATGATAAGTTTTTCGTATTAATAATCTCAATTTTTTAAATAAAACTAATAAAATAAAAAAATTGTTTTATTTTTTTGGCCCTCAAAATGAACTGTAAGATTTTATTTTAAAAATAGTTAACAATTAAACCTGCACACGGCACCGTGTACACGGCCATACGCTATCCTGTACACCATTTTTCCATGATATTCAGTCCTGAACTTTTTTTCTATCAAGGTTTTGTGATTGTGATCATCTTCAACTAGCTATATATAAAATAAAATAAAACGGCCCCCAGGTCACCTATTTATTCAAAATAGGGCTCAATTAATGAATCACTTATTTAAAAAGGCATTGAATGTGTTAACAAGCAATTTTTCGCTGATTGCGGCGCAGCGGAAATTCCGTAATCATTTTAATCTTCCACGAATAAGTGATGTTCCTTCAAAAACTTTAATTCGTTATCGGGTAGCAAGATTTCGTGCTTCAGGCTCAGCTGTAAACATGCATCGTCAAGGTCTAGTTGCATCTGTATCGACTGCAGAAACCATCCAACGTATGAATGATTCAGTTTTGCAAAATACACGGATGTCACTAAGAGCACGTTCAGCAGCTTTAGGTATTGCGATAACATTGAATATAAAAAAAAACTCAAGTTTCATCCGTTTAAAATTCAAATAACCCAAAAACTTAACGAAAATGATTACCAAGGACGGTTATCTTATGCCGAACGAATGTTAACAACTTTTTGTACGGAAACACGACTGCTGAACGATTTTTACAGTGACGAAGCCCATTTTCATTTAGGCGGTTATGTAAACAAACAAAATTACCGTTACTGGAGTTCTGAGAATCCAAAAGAATTGCATCAAGAACCATTGCATACAGATAAGGTAACAGTTTGGTGCGCTATATCAGGGAAAGGAATTCTTGGTCCTTATTTTTTTGAAGACAGTCGTGGTCGGGCAATATCCGTTAATTCAGAAAGATATTGTGAGATGGTCAACGGTTTTTTGAGAGACGAACTGCGCAACAGTTCTATTGCTAACAGAAACAGCTGGTTTCAACAAGATGGCGCCACGGCTCATACCGCACACATCTCCATGAATGTTGTAAGGGAATTGTTTCCATGAAAAATCATCTCTCGGTACGGTGACATCTCCTGGCCAGCACGATCGCCCGACCTGAGTCCATGTGACTTTATTTTATGGGGCTACCTGAAGAGCATCGTTTACCAAAACCAACCGACCACCACTGCTCAACTGAAAGAAAATATCCGGGCCGAAGTTTTGAATATTTCTAGCGATCTCTGTAAACGTATTTTCGAAACTATGCGTGTGAGATGGGAAGAGTGTTTGCGCCAAGAAAGTCGACATTTATAAAATGTTATTTTTGCAAGCTCATGTTTGCTCCTTGTGTTTAAAGTACGAACATCTTTATTTTTAAATATTATTATTTAAGATCAATTTGATAAAATGTCTTTAAAACTTTGTGATGTATAACCCAAAATAAGATTTGATTAAACCACGGACCGTGGTACACAAGGAAGATCTTCAGTGATTAATCATATGCATTAGCAGTTTGTATGATATGTTTCATTTTATTTTCACGGCTATCAGTACAGAACATACGACATTCTACGACATTCAGTACAGAACAAATATTTCATATAGTACTCAGATTGCAAAAGGTATTTCTAAAAGCAATTCTGTGCTTCTTGTGTGACCCATTCGTGCTACAACTATACTACTAATATAATTGCAGCATGGCTCTACCACGTTCTATAATTCTAGTTAATTTGATTTAATAAAATAAAAATGGTGATTCTTAGGAACGAGTTAAATATTAATAGTAGTAAAGAAGAAAAAATGATGAATAAAGATCGTGAGTGGAATATAGACCGTGAGAAAAGGGGGAGTTTCCAATCAAAAAATGTGAAGAAAGGAAATATTACGGTTTTGGTATCTACTAAATCTATACATCTATATCTAAACAGGCTACTGAAAAAGCGACACCTTCACGTTTGGCGTTTAACTAAAAAAACCACACGTGAGAAATTAACACCACATGTCAAAGAAGTGTGTGGTCCAGATGCAAATGTTAAGATCGAGGTCAGAGGGATTACGGTTCTTTTATCGTAACAGTATCAGAGTCAATGTATGAAAAGTTGCGTCGATCGGAAGTGTGGCCCATCAAGGCTGAATTTTGCGAGTGGATTTGGTTTCGAAAAGCAACAAGCAAACCAATTAAAGAAAAACACTAATTTTGAATTTTACTACCAAAAAGTCAGGGGTCTTCATAATAAGTTAAACTGTTTTTGTGACAATATTGAATTATTGAATGCCGATATAATTGCTATTACGGAAACAGGATGTAACGATTCTATAATGGATGCGGTGATTGTGCCACCGGGTTATGAAATAATAGTGTGTGATCGAGCGACGGCCGTAGAGGTGTTGCAGCAGGGACGAGTGAATGCACCGGGTGACGTAAACATAGATAACTGCTCATCTGAACTGGTTTGTGCGACAGTACATACTAAAGACAAATGTTTTTTTTACGTTGCGTTGTTTACATCCCGCATAACAAAGATGTTCTACATGATGTTTTTTAGGATAATAGAACAACTGTGTGTTAAATATAAAAATATAATTTTGATAAGTTATTTTAACTTAAATTCAAGTAATGATAATGTTAAAAATTATTTTGAATAGTTTGTGTCCTTTTGCGAATTTGCTCAGTAGAGTAAAGTACTTAATTGCAATCAGAGTCAATTAGACTTAGTGTTGTGTTCGTTAGGATTAAGTGATGGCGTAGCAGTAAGTATGCGAAGCTGCGCCGTTAGTGCCGGTGGACTCGTAACACCCACCGCTCGCAATGACCCTAGAGCTCGGCGTTGGCGGGACACCGTTGCAGCCCGTGGCAAGCAAGCCAAATAGAACCGCAATAGAATTTTTATTGCTATATAAGCTGATTTTACTCTTATTTTATTCTTTATTAGCTTCCGCCGAATGAAGTTTGATAATGACGAATCTAATATAGACATTGAAGATAAAGAAGGTATGATACCAGGAACTGTGCTGGAGTATATAACACAATGTTAGTAATATACCACCCAAGTAATCAAAAAACTTATTTTATTCTTTATTAGCCCCGCCGATTGGAGTTTGATAATGACGAATCTTATACAGACGTTGAACATGAAGAAGATATCACACCAGGAACTGTGATGGAGTATAGAACACAATGTTAGTAATATACCAATCAAGTAATCAAAAAACTTTTTTTATTCTTTATTAGCTTCCGCCAATTGGAGTTTGATGATGACGAATCTAATATAGACATTGAAGATGAAGAAGGTATGACACCAGGAACTGTGCTGGAGTATAGAACACAATGTTAGTAATATACCAATAAAGTAATCAAAAAACTTATTTTATTCTTTATTAGCCCCGCCTATTGGAGTTTGATTATGACGAATCTAATATAGACATTGAAGATGAAGAAGATATGACACCAGGAACTGTGATGGAATATAGAACACAATGTTAGTAATATACCACCCAAGTAATCAAAAAACTTATTTTATTCTTTATTAGCCCCGCCGATTGGAGTTTGATGATGACGAATCTAATATAGACGTTGAACATGAAGAAGATATCACACCAGGAACTGTGCTGGAGTATAGAACACAATGTTAGTAATATAGTTATCAAAAAACTTATTTTATTCTTTATTAGCTACCGCCAATTGGAGTTTGATGATGACGAATCTAATATAGACATTGAAGATGAAGAAGATTGTTGGTGATTGTTGTAAAACTGACAGCCTGCATGAGCGTGTAATGTAAGCCTATGTCGACGCGTCCGTCAAATTATATTCTTTTGTCATGGTGTGTTTTTATAATTTTTGTAAAAATCAAATATGTTTAGTGTAAAATTAAATGTTTTGAATCCAAAATCTACCACAAATGAATTTATTACATGTTCGCGTGGTAGTATTTGGATTATATACTTGGAAAAGGAAGATATTCAAAATGGAGCAAACCGATCAAAGGTAAACAAGAATCCTCTTGTTTCGGAGGTAGGTGTACGTGTAAAAATTTAAAAATCACGTATTATTAAAATCAGATTCACCTTGTATCCTGACATTTAATAACAAGTATAATTAACTATCGAACAAATTCACAATTAACCCTTAATTTCATGGTGATGGAAATTTCCATCGTTAAGAATTTTTGTCTTTATTTTTAGTTTGTGATCCGAATGAATTTATTTACGGACATGTATATGAATCGATGTTTAGGCAACATTTTTGAACGAAACAAAGAACTGTCAATGTCAACTGTCATTGTCAATCATCTGTTCAAGTGAAAAGATAACTACTTGTGGTTTGTGGTGTTTCTGATTGTTAGTTTGTGAACTTATACGGACAAGTAATTATTGAAAAAAATATTATTTCATAAAATAAGGTAAGTTTTCAATACCTAAGCGATTTGTTTTAGAAAAATCATAGTTTTTAGATGTATTCTGGGTCTTTTTGTTTATGATGGAAATTTCCATCAATATGCATTAGTCGTAGTTCTCGATGTATGGCAACCTAACTTTTCAGCACTATTATTCTTTTATAGTTTATCTCAAGTTTATAATAATTTTTATGTAATATTTCAGCAAAAATGTCTTTTCCAAGATCAAGAATAATCAATGATAGAGACATTGAAGAGTACTTGTCTGCTCTGGAAGGAGGATATCTGTCAGAAGATGGCATGGAAATGTCTGATACGGAAGGTAATAAGGAAAGTATCTTTTACACCAACAGAAATGAACCACTGCAAGACGTAGAGGATGATGATAATCTGGAAAATGAACCTACTTTACATGAAGAACAAGTTGATGTGCATGATCCCCCTCTGATTCTAGAAACTGTGGCATCTAAAGCAGGAGAAAACTCTGCTTGTTCGACTTGGGTGTTAGACAAGAGGAAGCTGATTTGGAAGAAGAGTACACTTCAGTTTTCTGAGTCAAATATTGAATTTGAAGGAAGGACTGATCTAGGTATTGAAATAACAGCCCCAAAAACACCATATCAATGCTTCAACTATTTTTTTACACCTGAACTTTGTAACAAAATAATATCAGAAACCAATCTATATGCCACCCAATTAAGAGCGCATATTCAAATATGTCCAAGTCGAAATCTACGCGATCGCTTTGGAACGGCGTAATATTGACGCACACTACAATGTTATCTCTGTGTGCGTGTCAGGGCGAGCGTGAGGCTATAATAGTTGCCTTTAGTTGCACGAATCACTTTGATCTTTGATTATATACCTGTCTTTGATACTATTGGAACTAAAATAATAAAAAAATAATTTCCATATAATGGCTTATATAGTGTATAGAAATCGGAGGCTAATATGTGGAAATTGTTTTATTCTTTTAGTAAATTGAATTCGGCTTTACATTTTCACACTATTGAGTAGGTATATTATAATATGTATATGTTATAATTGAAAAATATGTATTGTATGTAAAATTTCGGGACGGAAGGTAAAAATAATCGGGGATTTGGTTTTCATATCCGGACAACTACAATTTCTACAAAATATAGGTTTCTTTGTAGCCTTTTTGTGCTTTATTGAGAGCCGTGGTAGCTCAGATGGTCAACGCTAACTGTAAAGTGTAAATATCACATGCGAGTAATGCGAGAAATTGTGACTGTAACTTTACTTTATTTTTGTGCTTTATAATTATTATTCGGGTCTGATCTCATAAACGAATAACTTTTCATCCAAACATCGTAAAAACTGATTTTGTTTTTCATTTTAAGCAAATTAAAACAATATGAACTATTTGTTTTTTTTTTTTGCAGTCCTTGAATTTTTCAAATCACTCATTTTAATATAATTCTGTTTAAAACTTTTTGTGGTTTTTTTCGACTAGTGAGACAATGTCGTAGTAAAAATATTTTAATGTGGTAGTAGCTAACAGATATATATAATCATTTTTGCTGTCTAAATTATGGATTAAAGTATAGAATAGGAATGTTAGTGAAAATGGGGACATTTGGCGTCCCGATCAAGGGTGAATCGGGACGTGTCACTAGACCCTTGAAAATCGGGACGTCCCGCGCAAATCGGGACACCTGACAACACTAGCGGCGATCGAGCCCGGCTTGTTCGCGTTTACGGCGAGCACTACGCTCTTGAGCTACTCAACTCAAGCACGGCTCATATGTTTTATGTCTGGGGGCACGGTAGTGCCCCCGCCAAGTCGAGCAAAACAGCGGCACGGCCGTATCATCATTGCGAGACTTGGTTATTTTACAAGTTATGTTTTTGATGGCATGTCTACATGGAAAAAATTACATTTAAGTAGACAGTTTTGGTGATTTTATAATATTTTATATTAAATCGAAATATTTTCGTAATTTAGGTTTTGCTATACACTAAAAGACTATATATTCCATTATAATAACGCTTAAAATAAAGTATTTTAGCTTATAATAATGGTTGTATTCAACCTGAAAGATAACTCTGATGCATATTTTCGTAAAACACTGTGAAGGGATTGTCTTCGCCCTAAAAAACTGTCATTAAAAACTATGATTTTGCATTGCTATGTACTAAATAAAGACTTCATCTTTCTAAAGCCCTAATTTTCAGCAAATAATCTCCTCACGTCGTTACGATATCGCCTTTGGAAAAACCATAAAACATGTAGTTTTCGACACGAAACGCATATGCCCTCTTAAATCCTGAAAATAGATTTAATTTGTCTCATTATGACCTGAAAAAGTTTTTAGGCATTCTGCTTTACATGTCTGTTCAGCATTTCCCCAGCACACGCAAATACTGGTCAAGGCGTTTTGGATTTGAACCTATAAAGCAAACTATGAATGTAAATACATTTGAAAAGATCAAAAAATATATCCATTTCAATGATAATGACAAATATATACCAGTTAACCAACCAGGATATGACCGCTTACATAAGATGAGACCAATTATTGATAGTCTAAATCAAACCTTTTCCAGTGTGAAAAAACATCAAAGACTATCAATTCATGAACAAATGTGTGCCACCAAAGTGGGATATTATCTAAAACAATATCTACCAAATAAGTCTAGCCCCATAAGTGGGGATTTAAGTTGTTTGTTTTATGTAGTGTTTTTGGATTTGCCTACAAATTTGAAATTTATTCTGGCCAAGACATTTCTACAAGACCTGAAGGTGAGCCTGACTTAGGTTCTACAAATAATATTGTGCTTCGCTTAACCAGAGATGTTCCACGAATGGTCAACCATATTATCTTCTTTGATAATTTCTATACATCTGTGCCATTAGTTATCTATTTGGCTAAGCAAGGAATACATTGCCTTGGCACAATTCAACAAAACAGAATTCCTAATAACAAACTACCAGACAAAAAAGAGATGATGAAAAAAAATACCCCTAGCGGTACTTATGAAGAAAGAACAGCATCATATGACGGAATTGATTTAGCTTGCATAGCATGGAAGGACAATAAAATAGTGACTATGTTATCAAGTTACGTAGGAGCAGAGCCTGTTTCAACCGTCAATAGGTTTGATAAAAAAGATGAGGGAAAGAGTTGATATATTGTGTCCAAAGTCCATTACAGAATATAACAGTCATATGGGGGGTGTTGACTTGTTAGATAGTTTCTTGGGTAGATATCACATAAGAGTAAAATCTCGCAAATGGTATATTCGTATATTTTTCCATTTGTTTGATCTGGCTGTTATCAACTCCTGGATTATATATAAAAATAATTCAAAAAAAGAAAATGTTGCAAAACAGAACATTTTAAACATAGGTGAGTTCAGAAACGAGCTGGCCTATGTTTTATGTAACTCAGGCACAAATGAAAATAAAAGAGGTCGGCCTAGCTCTTCCAGCCTGGAGCAGGAGTTGCAAGCTAAGAAGAAGAGGTTACAATCAAAACCAATTCCTCCATTGGATATACGGATGGATGGTCTAGGGCACTGGCCAGATGTTGGTGTGTCGCTTCGTTGTAAGTATCCACATTGTACAGGATACACCACCATAAGCTGTGACAAATGTGGCATAAATTTATGCCTAAACAAAAATAATAACTGTTTTACTAAGTTCAACACTACCTAATATCAAATAATGAAATATAAATAAATAATTTTGCCAATTTATTTATATATATTATAATTTTTTTATTATAATATATATAAATAAATTTATTTATATATATTATTTATATAAATTATATATTAATTTTTGTTAATTGTATATAAAGAAAATCGAAAATATTCTCGATTCGAATGTCGAGTCCAAATTACTGAAGCGTAGGTCGAATAGCTAGGTAGGATCGGGAGTCCAAGTTCAAAAGCCAGTCGTAACAAGAAGATCAGGAATTTCAAATATATATAAAACTTAAAATGCACACAATATAATCAATATCAATATAAACCAAAAGCTTCATATTTGAAATTGTGATTTGACAGCAAATCACGTTCCGCTTCTTTCTCATATTTTCAAACTAAAATTAGTTAAATGTTTTAAAAGTTTGTCAAAGGTGTTGTACAATGTCGTTTGCTAGTTGATGGAATTGCATCTGACGAATTATCATTATCAACGAAGGTAGATGATCAAGCGTTCTCTTTAGTATTATCATGTGAAGGAGACGGACTGGACTTTAAATTAATGGATTGTGTGTTTTTTTTCTGAGTTTCTAGTTTGTTGTTTAATGAATCAGCAATATAGCCTTCTGCAACTTTGTCTGACTTTCAACCTCCTAGTCGCTTTAAGAACGTCAAATTGGCTCCTAAATCTGCCAATAATGTAGCAGAGGTCCTCCTGAAGCTGTGTCCATTATAATACTCAGCATCCGGCAGACCAAGAAACGTAGCTATTTCTTTTGGCATATTACCAAATTTGTTTATCCCGGTTGCTTGAGCTGTACACTTCCCTTTTTGATAATTTTGGAAAAAACGGTCGGATTTGGCTTCATGGGACCGCTGATTCATATATTTTAAGAAAATTTCCCTCAACAACAAAGCTTCTCGGTATATTATTATTTCTATTCAGAATCTTGATTAGTAGCATTTTTCCATGGGCTTCAATATCTTTTAAAGTAATATTGGCTAACTCCTCTCTGTGGCAAGCTCCAACTACGCCAAAAATAAATTATATTAAATAATACTATAAATAAGAATAAAATAATACAATATATAAAAATATTACGGTTTAAGTGGAAAGATAAGAGGGTAGTCCACCTTTTATCAAACTACCGCGACCCACGAAATGTCAGTACTGTTATTCGCAACAAGCGTAATGGTGACTCAAACCAGATAGCTTGCCCTGAACTTGTAAAGGATTACAACGCAAATATGAACTTTGTAGACAAGTTTGACCAACTCAAAAGCTGTTATGCCATTGAAAGAAAGTCTCGTAAATGGTGGCATAGAATATTCTTTCATTTCTTGGACTGCGCGTTGGTAAATTCTTTTTTTTATTTACAAAGATCTTCAAAAACTTGATCATATGGAACTGTCAAGACTGACAATGCTTTTTTTTTGCCCTGCTTTTGTGAAAAAGCAATCTTACGGTTCCAATATCGGTTCTCCAGCGCATTCTCCGATTCCTGTGCTAATAAAACGTCACAAATCAACAGTTCCTCAAGAAATACGTTTAGAAAGTAGTCGGCACCAACCACAACAGGGCACATCTAGGCGCTGCTGCAAGTGCAGTACAAAATCTCATCCAGTACGCACAGTTTGGGAATGTAGCATGTGTAAAATTCCTCTTTGCCTACGTAAAGGAAAAACTTGCTTTGCTGATTTTCACAAAAAATATTTGAAGTAAGGAAATAATATTAAAAATAAAGTTCCTTATTCATCATACATGTTTTATTCTATAGCCACGGTGGTTAGTACTGGTAACCACCTCATTCCTCAAAAGCCTTAAGGCTGAAGCAATATTTTTATTTTTTTATACATGTAGTTGTCTCTAAGTTATAGTCAGCCATATATAGTACTTTTGACGTTTTATATTATTCACTCCGAAATATGAAAAGTGTGGCTCACACGAGTTAAAATAACTTCTTTTAACGTAAATCCGAAGAATTATGAAGCTATCTGTATTTCATTACAAGGTGTATAGTTTTTTATCACTAATTTAATTTCGAATCGTTGAAACAAAGCAAAATATTAAAAAAAAAAAATATTAAAAAACTTTTTTACTTGACGTAGTTTCTACTTAATATGTCGCTATGTACATTACCGTAGTGTTTGGATGATTAAAATTCATTGTTATGCGAATAATCGGCAAAAATATTCAAATAATCGATAAAAATATTTAAATAATCGAATAAATTTTTAATGTATTATTTTTTAATTAAATTTTAATTTTTAAAATTCTGTAAATTACATAAAAACATCATGAATAAAACAAGTTTATTGTTTTACTTTGTCAACGTGTTGTGTGGGCAATAAAACTGGAATCCTAGGCCTCGCTGAAAAAACCACTACGTAATTTCAATCTCCCGCCATTTCGGGAGCTTAATGTGCGTAGTTTTGTGATTTTGTGTTTGTCTTCTTATTTTGTGACTCGGCTTTAACTTCTGGATTGTTTTTTCTATATTCGTTGACCTTGCCAAGTCATATACTGGACTCTGATTAAGCAAGAAAACATGCCTACGGCTATTTCACAAGGGGCGAATATCCTACTGCGGCGACGTTGTAAGTAAGTTTAGTAGATGGCGGCTTGTACAATGATAGTGTAGAGTCATTGAAAACCATTTTAAAACGCAAAGGCTTTCGATACAAAAAAAAATTGACAAACGCAATATAATTATGTAGAGGCATGACATAAGTCTTGCCATAGACAAAAAATAACATTTTTAGAAGAAATGAAAAATATAAACGATTGGGACAACGTCATATTCCTTAATGAAATGTGGTTAAACGCCAACCACACTGTGGTGAAAATATGGACAGATAACACTACAGCATCTCGAAGGTGCCTGTGGGAAATGGAGGGTGCCTCATAATTTGCCATGCGGTATCCGCCGGAGGAGGATTTGTACAAAATTGTTTATTAGCCTTCCAATCAAACAGTACAAGAGAATACCATGAGAAAATGGATGCAGATAAATTCAAAGAGTAGTTTATAACGCTTTTAGAAAACAATCCTACGAATAGCACCATAATAATTGACAACGCCCCGTACCATTGTATCAAAATCGACAAAGCCGCAATCCAAGCTAATAAGAAAGCAGTTTAGTAGCATGGCTGCAACATAAAGGTGTGGAAGCGGACATGAAATTATTGAAAGCTGAGCTAATACAAAAAATAATAATAAACCGCGTAAACCTTTATAGTTATTGATAAATTAGCAGAAGAGCACCGGCATAAAGTTATAAGATTACCAACATACCATGGCTAATATAATGCTATTGAATTAATTTGGTTCCAAATCAAAGGCTAGTTAGTCTACTAAAACACACACAAAATGAAAATATCTTATGCTTTTTTTACAGGCTACGTAACACGACCCAACACCAAGCCATCTTTCACGGCAAAGAAGATGGAAGGTTGGCTCAAGGAAGCATGTGCCCATGTCACAAAGGAAGATTGAAAAAAAAAGATTATGGATGACTTTGAAAGAGACAATAATTTTGACTGCATTATTAAAAATCTAATAATATTAATCCAAACAACAGCTCAACTAGTCATAGTGAAACTGATTTAATAAATTTATATTTAATCTAGTATCAATCTTAAATTTTTATAACTTTGCATCTGGAAATAAGCAGTAACAACAAATACGAAGAAACTGATAAATCTTGTGTGTAAATTATCTGTTTCTAATTTATTCTGGTATTATTTAAACCTAACTGTAAATGATTACCAACTCTACGATATCGATCTTTTTTTAAGAATCGAATATTGTACGTTCCCATTTTTTGGTGAGCATGCTTGGTGCAATAAGTCTGACAGCTGTCAAAATGTTTTTCTTAGATTTGGTTGACTATAGATATTAGTGCATTATATTTTACGACCAAATTGTGTGTACACAATTTTACTTCGTTTATATATAGGCTGCACTAAAAGTATCGGGATAGCGACAAACTAGCTGGCTGTTCACAAACGAGGCAGCTGCTAATGACTGCATGAGTCCGCTTATATTTGGAACTGTTTGTTGTAGGTGTTGGACCGGCTGCCGGAAGTCTTTGCAGATAGTACGAAATTACATTGAATTACATAGGCTGCACTAAAAGTATCGGGAATGAAATATTTCCACTGTTCCTGTCATATTAAAATCTTTTTAATTGAAAACTCCTTGGTTTTAAAAATCGAATACCATTTATTTATTTAAAAAAAAGATTCTCGGTCTTGTCACAAGGTTTTGTCAAACTTGTTTAGTCGTTGAGAAAATGGAATTGACTTGAGAAAATTCAAGAGCGATGATTTATTATGACTTTCGAAGTGGTTTAACACAAAAACAGTGCGTTGACCGGATGATTTCTGCATTTGGTGATGTAGCCCCATCCAAAACCACAATTTATCGCTGGTTTGCTGAATTTCAACGTGGACGTGTCAAGCTCAGTGATGATCCCCGTCAAGGTCGTCCAAAAACTGCAGTCACCCAAGAAAACGTTGATGCTGTGCGTAAGCTGATTGAGGAAGATCGACATGTGACATACCGCGAAATTCAGGCAACTTTAGACATTGGCATGAGTCAAATACAAATAATCTTGCATGAACAATTAGGTGTAAAAAAGTTGTTTTCCCGATGGATACCGCATTCGCTCTGTGAAGAACAAAAAGCGGCTCGCGTTACTTGGTGCGTCAGAACTCTCGAAAGATTCCACGCAGGATCCTCAAATGCTGTATACAACATCGTATCAGGTGACGAATCCTGGATATGTGCGTATGAACCCGAAACAAAAAACCAGTCACGAGTTTGGGTGTTCGAAAATGAGTTAAAGCCAACAAAAATTGTTCGTTCACGGAGTGTTGCAAAAAAAATGGTGGCCACGTTTGTCTCCAAAACCGGCCATGTTACAACTATTCCTCTTGAGGGACAAAGAACAGTTAATACAGAATGGTATGCTAGCATTTGATTGCCACAGGTCGTAACTCCGTAAAGAGAACTGCAACCGCCGCATCATCCTCCATCACGACAATACGAGTTCTCACACCGCACACAGAACAAAAGAGTTTTTAGAGCAAGAAAACATAGAATTATTAGACCATCCGCCGTATAGCCCCGATCTAAGCCCTAATGATTTCTATACTTTCCCTAAAATAAAAAATAAATTGCGTGGACAGAGATTTTCATCACCTGAAGAAGCTGTGGACGCCTACAAAACGGCCATTTTGGAGACCCCAACTTCCGAATGGAATGGTTGCTTCAATGATTGGTTCCATCGTATGGAAAAATGTGTCAAATTTCGCGGAGAATAGTTCGTAAAGCAACAAATACATTTTTAAATAGTAATGTTGTGTCACTTCCTTGATTCCCGAAATTTTCAGTGCCGCCCTCGTAATCTGGCGTCAAAAGACGTTTATGACTACTGGCTGTATTCTTCACATCAGATAATATGAAGAATCGACGCTCCGAGAAGTCTGCAGTCTGTGAACACGTACAGGATCGCCCCCGTCACTACATCAGATTTGAAAGACTACAATCCTCGCTAAAGAACACCAATTCCTGATTCGCGAGGCAATGAATATAAAAAAAACATCCTATTTTCTAATGAGACCATCTTCTCATCTCTGTGTGCTAGCAGATGGTAAGCAGATGCTTGGGATCCTATATATAATTAATAAAATTAAATCCCAATCCAAGCATACAACTGCAAGAGTTCGAGATACTATAAGTACACATACTATGTAGATCGGAACAATTTTATATCCTAAACAATACAAATTAATAATTTTTATCTGGAGGTAGCCGTGGTTAAATATGACACTGGGACGTCGGACATCTCAACCTGTCGGATACCCCCCCCCCTCCCCGCTAAAATAAAATCCGTAAAAAGTAATATTATTTAAATGGAAATAAATCAAATATTTTTTCTTCCGTTTACGACCTCTCTGTGGAATAATTTTCCACCGGCGATTTTTCCGGACCGATACGACCTGGGGACCTTCATCAAAAGAGCTTACTCCTTTCTAAAGGGCCGGCAACGCACCTGCAATTCCCCTGGTGTTGCGGTTGATCATGGGCGGCGGTAGTCACTTAACATCAGGTGAGCCGCATGCTCGTTTGCCCCCTCTTGTATAAAAAAAAATGTTATTAATGTGATCTGTATGTTCTGCCATAACTAGACAAGCCATATGCTACCAGTGATTTATATATATATTAGCTGGTAACCAATGCGTTGGTGCCGTAAAAGAAACAATTGTGGAAATATCGTTATTAATTTGGAAGAGTTATTTTGTTTAATTAGTAATGATAATACATCAATCGAAATTTAATGATGTATATAACTTACAAATAAACTTGTTGGTACGATACGCGCTCCACTTACTGTACTATGCCTGTAACCTTGGCGCAAGTGCAAGCAATAAGTTGATAAGGTTTTACCGTAGTCTGATGAACAGTATGGCACCGCATAAAATACATACAAACAAATATAAATATTAATACAGTGGACCCCCGGTAATCTGGCCCCAGTCTAATCCGGCACCCCCTGTAATCCGACATAGTCTAGTATTCATTTTTGAATATTTTTTGACAATCTTCGCTAATGCATGATTAAACAAGTTATAGCTTGTACGCACTAATTATATTTTCATGCTTCTTAAATTGATTGATTCATAATTTTTTATTATTTTAGTATGTACATTTGTTTGTACACAATTATTTCCTAATGTAAAGTTATAGCATATTTTTTGTAAGTTCTATAGCTTCAATGATGTTAATTTTATAATAAAACGTAATTTCTCTATTGTGTTGTTTAATTTACTAAATTTGACGCACATAATGAACTATGATTTGTACTTCAAAGTACATATATATAACATATAGAATCTTATCATTGGATCTGTAATTTGTCGGATTACAAGGTAGTCTTTTGTAAAAAATTCCGGACTATAGGGGTCTTAGGCAGTACTCTATAATCCGACAAATTCGACACTGCCCTGCAAAATGTATATTAGACAAGAATTTTATACGGAATCATAAATTTATATATGGATTTTATATAGGATAGTGTGACAAACGAGCACACAGTTCACCTGATGGTAAGTGTTCGCTGTAGCCCATAGACATCAATCCTCAATTGCCAATCAAAATGCAGATGCGCTGTCACCCGAGAGGAATAAGATGGAATACCTCGTTTCCAGTAAAAAGGGTATCCGGTTACCATATGAAACACAGCAGCGTTAAGCTGCTATTTTGCGCTGGTATTCTGTGAGAGCGTGGTCCTTCCCCGGTCGAGCCGACCCATTCGTACTACAACTATACTACTAATATAGCTGCAACATGGCTCTACCAATCAATATGTTCTTTCCAATTTAGATGACTATCTATCACGAGTCCTAAATAGACCCGTGATTCTATTAGGGCTATAGCTTCGCAATTAAATTTTATTTCTTTTGTGAAGGTATTTCCTATTTTGACTAGATCTGATGTACATTAATTAGGTCTTATCAGAATTTCAGACAGTGTGTATTATATCTTTTTTTATAGAATAAGAGTGACAACCGAGCACACAGTCCATCTGGTGGTAAGTGGATGCTGTGGCCCATAAAAATTCTGGGGTCTATGATGGAATGCCTCGTTTCCAGTAAGAAGGGTCTCCGGTTCTCTACACTCAGCATACGAAACACAGCAGCATTGAGCTGCTATTTTACGCTGGTATTCTGTGAGAGCGTGGTCCTTCCCCGGTCGATCCGGCCGATTCGTGCTACAACCGTAATGTAATTGCAGCATGGCTCTACCACGTACAATCTCTGTAATCACGTAATATATCTGTGTTTTATATATTAATGTGCAGTTGAGAGCGTAGATAATACATATATTTACTTAGAATCGAAAGCGAATTCGAAAAGAATGTGAACATCTTTCTTAAACAAACTTAAAAGTTTTACGAATTTCGACCACTGGACGACAACTAAGGTAAACAATTTTTTTTGCAACTCAAACTTTAAGTTTTCTTTCAAATAGTACATAGATAGATTTAGATAGTCAATACATCGTCATAACAGCGTTCGAAGGTCCACTGGTGAACATAGGCCTCCCCCACAGCTTTCCTTTAATACGTAAGGATATTTGACATAGCTGCTACTCCTGGCGAAAGGCTTAGCAACAGCTTTTATATTATTTTGAGTTCTTATCAGGAAGATGCTACTCCGTCTCCGGTTTCAGTTTCTGTCTGTCCTCTCTCTCTCTCTCTCTCTGTCTCTTTCTCTCTCTTTCTCTCTCTCTTTCTCTCTCTCTCTCTCTCTCTCTCTCTCTCTCTCTCTCTCTCTCTCTCTCTCTCTCTCTCTCTCTCTCTCTCTCTCTCTCTCTCTCTCTCTCTTTCTCTCCTTTCCCTCTCTATCGCTCAGGCAACCACGGGATTAGTGGAAAAATTGGACTGATTCAATGTCAAATATTCGCATAAACATTAAAAAAACATTATTAATAATAATATGGTCTTATGGGGTTTAAAATTAGAACTTTTTTAAATTATTCGGAAGTATTCTGCTGGGTTTCACCACCCCCTGGTTTTTTTAGTCCACCAAATGGTAAGTGGATGCTGTAAGCCCATAGACATCAACATCTTCAATTAAAAATCAAAATACAGATGCAATTTCACCCGTAGTGATTAACAAGAAACGGTGAAAACTATAATCATAAGAAAAATATAATCTAAAACTCACCACCAACACCCCATCCAACCACTCCCAGCCCGTTGATCATTGTTGTGTGACTGTCTGTCCCCACTACGGAGTCAGGGTGAAGGATGTCGTTGGTGAACACGACTCGGGCCAGATACTCCAAGTTTACCTGGAAACAAATATTGGTTCATAGGTTATAACCGTTAGCGTTGCAGCCTTTAAAGTTCACTGCTATACATAGACTGCCTCATGGGGAGATATTGGCCATAGTTGTAATGTTACTGTTGATTTAATAATTTCACCTCTCTGGGGGTCATGTGTTCCTGGTAGATTATCTTCTATACATAATCCACTGCAGCCTATAAAAAGTTCACTGCTGAACATAGGGAACCCCCATAGACTACCTCATAAGTGGGGGGGGATATTTGCCATATTTGCCAGGAATGGCAAGCGGGTTGGCACCCACCGCTTTTATTTCGTCTTAATTAGTAAGACACTGCTGCCCATATCCTGATTTGTTTCCTTCTGTCATGTCTTTCACACCCACGGGATGATATGGGGTAGTGGATAATCTTACACCGCCACTATTACGGTAATATACTAACATATAACGTGTCGTTTTTCTTATTTCGCAGCTAAGTAGGATATTTGTCATAATTGTGGTAGTTTTATTTTTATTTATAGTCGTTATTTGGAAGACGCCATTGCCCAACTTTTTTAGGGTCCCGTAATCAACTAGGAACCCTTATAATTTCGCTATATCTGTCTGTTCGTCTGTCCGTCTTCGTTTAATCTCTGCGACCGTTAGCACTAGAAAGCTGAAATTTGGTACCAATATGCGTATCAATCACGCCGACAAAGTAGTAAAATAAAAATTGGAAAAAAATGTTTTATTAGGGTAGCCCCCCTATATGTAAAGTGGGAAGTGATTTTTTTTAATTTCAACCCTAACGTGTGATATATTGTTGGAAAAGTATTTAAAAATGAATAGGGGTTTACTAAAATCATTTTTTGATAATGTCAATAATTTCGGAAATAATCGCTCCAAAAGTAAAAAACAATGTGTCCCCCCCCTCTAACTTTTAAACCATAAGTTTAAAAAATATGAAAAAAATCTGAAAAGTAGAACTTTATAAGGACTTTCTAGGAAACTCATTTTGAACTTGGATGGAAACAACAGTACCCACTACCGGGAGCAGTTGCAGGAGCGCGGAGCGCTGCTGGAACGCGAACATAATGGATACCCACCTTTAAACTCATAAGTGGGAACACTAATTGAGACGGACGGGAAACTACGGAACCCTACACTGAGCGTGGCCCGACACGCTCGTTGCCGGTTTTATTTATAGGAGAGGGGGCAAACGAGCATACGGCTCGCCTGATGGTAAGTGATTACCGTCACTCATGAACAGCTGCAACATCAAGGGAATTGCAGATGCGTTGTGCCGGCCTTTTAAAAAGGTGTAGGCTCTTTTCTTGAAGGTCCGTAAGTCGTATCGGTGAGGAAAAATCTCTGAAGGTAGTCGATTCCACAAGAAAGTTGTGCGAGGAAAACAACTTCTTTTAAATCGCTTAGTGGTGGACCGCTAGTCATCCATATGGTATGGATAATATCGCGAGTTTTGTCGCGATGTGAGATGGTGAAACTGTGCGGCTGGAATTAGTCCGAACATAAAATACTCAAAGAGATGCAACATCTCTTATGAGTCAAGCCGATCGGAAACAGCTCGGTTAGTTTTAGTTAACTCCTGATTAGTTTCCCTGTCACCTTTTACAATGGGTATCAAGTCTCAGACATGCAGGTTTCCTCACGATGTTTTCCTTCACCGCCGAGCACGTGGTAAATCAGCACTTCAAATTGCAATTAACAATTTCATTGGTGCCGGCGGGGATCGAACCCGGGTTACTCGTGTACCGTTATATTTACAGCGAGCGTTAACCATCTGAGCTACCACGACTCTAAAAAAAGGTGAATTTTAATAGGTATTATTTATAATCTACATATGATAAAAAAAGTTTCTGTTTCTGTTTCATTTAAAGTGTAGTTGTAGCGGTAGAAAATCCACTACATACCTCATATCATTTCGTGGTAAACGTAAGAGACAATGGAGGAAATTTGAAACAGAAGACGGTCAGCAACATCTTCGCGATAACAACTTAACAAAAACTATGGTTGCCAACCAACCGTCATTACGTGATAAAGCTACGCTGCATATTATGGTTGTAGCAGGAATAGGTCAGTTCGACCGCGGTAGGACCACACTCACAGAATACTAGCGTGAAATAGCAGCGTAACGTTGCTGTGTTTCGTAAAGTGAATGTAGAGAACTGGAGAACATTTTGACTGGAAATAAGACATTTCATCCTCAGGGGTGACAACGCATCTGCATTTTGATTCATAATTTAGAATAGATGTAGATATCTATGGGCCACAGCAACCACTTACCATCAGGTGGACTGTGTGCTCGTTTGTCAACCTTATTGTATATATTTGAAGCGACAGTATCCTATTGGCTGGGCGCGGACTGCGAACTCAAAAAGGTCGTGGGTTCGAATCCGCCATTCGACTACTAGCGTGAACCACTCGTAACACAAGCAATAAACTTACCACGAGTGGTTAAGGGGAATATTTGTATAGCATTGTTAATATTCTTTCTGTAAAAAAAAACTGTCTGAAGAAGTCTACTGAGGCAGTCTATGTAGCGACCTTAGCCTTCGTTCTACAGTTTAGTTGTGATGAACTGTAATTAATTAATGAAACAGTTCATTGAATTCAGATTTAGCCAAAACAACTAGATTTTGTCATAAAAGTCAGATTCAGCTCAAGCGACTAGAATTTGATCCAATAACCACACATTTAATGAATATTTAAGATTATGATTCCATAACGCGCGTTTTTCTATACATTTAACATGCAAGCTCACATAGACCGGAATGAGATCATGAATTCTTTCAGCTGACAATGTTTTGCTACTTGTGAAGCTGTAATGTAGAACCGACTTTCCCTTACTCTGTTCACATTAAGAGGATAAATCCAGTGTATTCGTTTGCGTCTCTTTTTTGTTATTAAAACCTAAAGATATTAGTATTCCTCTATTTATAATAACCGAGACGTTTGCCTGCGCCGAGAAACACGAGACTACGGATTTATCTGATTTTTAAAGATATATATGAGACAGCTTGCCATAATTCAAATAATGAATTCTGAAGTCAATGAAGAAGCTTTAGCCTTCACCTTCATTATTCCTCAAAAGTCAGCGTCACTCCTGAAATTCTGCATATGTAGCAGCTAGTCGTGTACGGCGGCAGTCACTAACCGCATAAATCCATACCTTACATGGGTACGTTGATTTATACAAAAATTTTAAAAAAAAAAACACAATTTATGACTTGTTATTTTTGTCGAACAATTTTCAGAAGCTCTTTAACGCGAAAGCTTCATATACAGTTTGAATAAAATAATTAATATAATAATGAGGAAAGAGTGACAAAGCAAATTTATGTTGCTGAAGTGAACGGCAGAGTCGATAAGGGACGCCCTAGGCGAAAATTTGTCGACCATATTGGCGACCTACTGAAAAGGGGCCAAATTAAGAGTACCCTTAACCGACGAGCATGTATGCGTAGGTGTATGAATGTGGAAGAGGCGAGAGAGGTATGTCAGGAAGGTGCCAAATGGAAGTCTGTAGTCTCTGCAATACCCTTCTGGGTGACAGGCGTGAGTGCTTACGTTATATTATGTTATAAAATAATTATCTAAACATCGCATCCCCATTTGTTTTTCATTTTACATTCTTTATTTTTTTTAATTCAGAGGGGCATTGAGGATGTATGAGTCCAGCCTAAAGGTAAGCTCAGCTGTATCCAAAGTATCAGAGAGTGGAATAATTTTCCAGCATCAGTCTTTGCGTTCGATTATAATGTGGGTCTTGAAATGTCTTGAAGGCAAAAAAGAATAGGCTTATGTTGCGCTAAGATGCATTTTACCGTCTAGAGCTTGATTACCACTTACCACCAGGTGGGATTGTAGTCAAGCTTTTTCACGTGGTAGAGCCACGCTGTAAGTTATATTACCATTGTAACACGAATGAGTTGAATAAAACTAAATTTACGGATTTTATCGCGTTTATTTAACTGATTTTACTTATTTTTAATTTCCGACGTTTCGAAAATCATTACGAATGAGTTGGCTCGGCCGGGGAAGGACCACGCTCTCACAGAATACCAACGTAAAATAGCAGCTTAATATTGCTATGTTTCGTATGGCGAGTGTAGAGATCCGTAGGCCCTTTTTTACTGGAAACGAGGCATTTCATCTTAGTCCTCACGGGTGACAACGCATCTGCGTTTTGATTCTTAATCCAGGATAGATGTAGATGTCTATGGGCCACAGCACCATTGTTGTCACCCCTATTCCATAAAAAAGCACTAACTTAATTGGTGAAAAAGTCAAGCATGCAAAGCACCAAAGCCATATAGCTTCTATAGCTTTGAAACGATTTTGATAAAATTTTGTGTGTGTTAAAATCGTTTGGTTTAGATTCATAACTAGACCCAGTGGGTGGCGCTGTTGTAGAGATACAAAAATCTTAAGTGCGGAGATGGGACGAATCGCTAGTATTTAAAAAAAACACGTGGCTTTGATTTAAATAACGATGGAAAACATTTATAGTCGTCAAAATAGAATGCAATGATGAACTCACTTGATGTACAATACCGGAGCCGGGTGGAACAATCAGCATATTGTCAAACGCTTGGGCACCCCACTGAAACAGAAAGAGGATATGTTAAAAATAAAGAAGGAAAGAAATAAACAAAACATACAACGCCATATCGTACATATTGGCTTCTTATCTTTAATGTTATTATTATTAATAATAAATAGATATAGACAACAGATATTATAGGAACAACTAAATTTAAAAATTGTAAATGGGAGAAAACACATTCAGTTTTCTCCCATTTCCAAATCTTAATTAAAATTTTGCAGACATATTAAGATAATACAATAATCTCATGACGGACGATGTAGTTACGGTGTGAGAATAATACCCCATATCATCTCGTGGGTGTCGTAGGGGGCGACAGAAGGAAACGAATCAGAAGATGGGCAGCAGCGTCTTACAAATAACGACTAAAAATAATAAACTGCGTTTGCGAACCCACTTACTAAGCGTGGCTACTATGGGAAATATCCCCCTATGAAGCAATCTATGGGCGGAGGGCTATGTTCAGCAGAAGACTTTTATAGGCTGTAATGGATGGATGAAGATAATCTACCAGGAGCACATGACCCACTGAGAGGTGAAATCTTTAAATCATCAGTAACATTACAACTATGGCAATATCTCCACTATTAGACAATCTATGGGGGAGGCTTATGTTCAGCAGAAAACTTTTATAGGCTGTAATGGATGGATATATAGAAGATAATCTACCAGGAGCACATGACCCACTGAGAGGTGAAATCTTTAAATCATCAGTAACATTACAACTATGGCAATATCTCCACTATTAGACAATCTATGGGGGAGGCTTATGTTCAGCAGAAGACTTTTATAGGCTGTAATAGATGGATGTATAGAAGATAATCTACCAGGAGCACATGACCCACTGAGAGGTGAAATCTTTAAATCATCAGTAACATTACAACTATGGCAATATCTCCACTATTAGACAATCTATGGGGGAGGCTTATGTTCAGCAGAAAACTTTTATAGGCTGTAATGGATGGATGTATAGAAGATAATCTACCAGGAGCACATGACCCACTGAGAGGTGAAATCTTTAAATCATCAGTAACATTACAACTATGGCAATATCTCCACTATTAGACAATCTATGGGGGAGGCTTATGTTCAGCAGAAAAGACTTTTATAGGCTGTAATGGATGGATGTATAGAAGATAATCTACCAGGAGCACATGACCCACTGAGAGGTGAAATCTTTAAATCATCAGTAACATTACAACTATGGCAATATCTCCACTATTAGACAATCTATGGGGGAGGCTTATGTTCAGCAGAAAACTTTTATAGGCTGTAATGGATGGATGTATAGAAGATAATCTACCAGGAGCACATGACCCACTGAGAGGTGAAATCTTTAAATCATCAGTAACATTACAACTATGGCAATATCTCCACTATTAGACAATCTATGGGGGAGGCTTATGTTCAGCAGAAAAGACTTTTATAGGCTGTAATGGATGGATGTATAGAAGATAATCTACCAGGAGCACATGACCCACTGAGAGGTGAAATCTTTAAATCATCAGTAACATTACAACTATGGCAATATCTCCACTATTAGACAATCTATGGGGGAGGCTTATGTTCAGCAGAAGACTTTTATAGGCTGTAATGGATGAATGTATAGAAGATAATCTACCAGGAGCACATGACCCACTGAGAGGTGAAATCTTTAAATCATCAGTAACATTACAACTATGGCAATATCTCCACTATTAGACAATCTATGGGGGAGGCTTATGTTCAGCAGAAGACTTTTATAGGCTGTAATGGATGAATGTATAGAAGATAATCTACCAGGAGCACATGACGCACTGAGAGGTGAAATCTTTAAATCATCAGTAACATTACAACTATGGCAATATCTCCACTATTAGACAATCTATGGGGGAGGCTTATGTTCAGCAGAAGTAGGCTGTAATGGATGAATGTATAGAAGATAATCTACCAGGAGCACATGACGCACTGAGAGGTGAAATCTTTAAATCATCAGTAACATTACAACGATGGCAATATATCCACTATTAGACAATCCTATGGGGGAGGCTTATGTTCAGCAGAAGACTTTTATAGGCTGTAATGGATGAATGTATAGAAGATAATCTACCAGGAGCACATGACCCACTGAGAGGTGAAATCTTTAAATCATCAGTAACATTACAACGATGGCAATATATCCACTATTAGACAATCTATGGGGGAGGCTTGTGTTCAGCAGAAGACTTTTATAGGCTGTAATGGATGGATGTATAGAAGATAATCTACCAGGAGCACATGACCCACTGAGAGGTGAAATCTTTAAATCATCAGTAACATTACAACTATGGCAATATCTCCACTATTAGACAATCTATGGGGGAGGCTTATGTTCAGCAGAAGACTTTTATAGGCTGTAATGGATGGATGTATAGAAGATAATCTACCAGGAGTACATGACCCACTGAGAGGTGAAATCTTTAAATCATCAGTAACATTACAACTATGGCAATATCTCCACTATTAGACAATCTATGGGGAGGCCCTATGTTCATCAGTTGACTTTAATAGGCTGTAACATAAACGGTATTTTTAACAAGTAAAAATATATCAAAATGTTCCACTTTTGGCACAGACCTCCTCTCAAGAGAGTTTTAGGACAACAAAGGTGTTCAGCATGCTACCTGGTTTTCTCATGGTGTTTCGTTCACAACTAAGAATGTGGTCTTCAGCACTTTTAATCGGAATTTTAAAAAAAATCACTTCGGAGACTTCAAAACATTTATTAACTTACTTTTTTTAAAGCTCTTATGAAAATCAAAAATTAATACTGGTTCGCAAAAACAATATTATTCTCAAAGAAGCACTGGTGAAAAACTTTTTTTTATTTCAAGTCATGCTACAATTTTATTTAAAATTACAATTACAACTCAAATAATATAAAATAAAACAATGTCAAGTTCAAAGTAAACAGATGGTGTTAGAATATCCACTACCTCATATGATTGTGTGTTATGTGTGTTAAATCGATTACCACCAGAGATTTTTCTGGACTGATACGATTTAGGGACCTTCAAGAAAAGAGCCTACACAACGCATCTGCAATTCCCCTGATGTTGCAGTTGATCATGGGCGGCGGTAATCACTTACCATCAGGTGAGCCGTAAGATGAGATAGAGGGAAACGAAAACAGGAGACGGGCAGCAGCATCTTCCTGATAAATACCCAAAACATAAAAACTGTGGTTGCCGATCGGCATGCTAAGCGTGGCAACTATGGCAAACCCTCCCTACGTATAGGGCGATATAAGCCATATTCAGTATTGAACCTATACATATATGTACATATTGGATACTTAACATCATCTAATGTAATGCATATATAATAATGCCTGATATATAATGCCTGACTGCCTCGTTGGTCTAGTGGTTATAGTAGTGCGACTGCTGATCGCGAGGTTCTTCCGAATCCCGGGTCGGGCCAAAAAATTAATTATTGAGTTTTTCCGTCAAAAAATTCTCAGTAGTTGCCCGGAGTCAGGAAGTTGGCGGTGTTTCACCCCCGTGCCTCGGAAAGCACGTAAAGCCGTTGGTCCTGCGCCTGATCTCTCTCCGGCTGTGTCGGTTTACCGTCCCATCGGATTATGAGAGTAAGGGAATAGAGTGCACCTGTGCTTGCGCATACACTTGTGCACTATAATCCTGTCTTGCGCCGATGGCTAGGCTCCGTTGAGGCAGGCCGCCGTGGCCGAAATTCGGTCTGGAGGACATTATTATTATTAATATTAATTGCTTTGAAACTGTTAAAAAATTGTAGAGAATTCTATATTTAACCTTAATTTAAAAAGATAATCACCCTTCTTGATCGTCAAAAAAGAATTAATGTCCGAACATATGTAACTTACCTTTAAAAACTGAAACCGCTCTTTATTTCTCACGAATTCCAGATCTTGATTTTTATTTAAAGCTTCCGGCCTGAAAAAGAAATGAGTAACTTATAATAATTTAACAAAAGCAAGGATCGAGGAGCAACTCCATTTGACATGTACATTTGGTACTGCAACACTGAACAACTACTTGCAGATTTAATAAATGGATGTATAGAATATTTGGACGATGGCAGGAGACCCGTTGGTATGACATTGGTCTCTTGGAAGATAAGAGGTAAATCCCTAGTGTGGGATGATACTTGAGTAGACAATTTGACGACCTTTGTTCTCAGGAGTACCTCGTTTAGAGCCGGGCAGCATCAGAGGCAACTGAATTAAGGAATCTAGACTACTAAGGAATCTGGTTACCATCAAGTAATCTCGGCATATTACTTGATGGGGAAAGCTTACGCATCGCCGTAAGAATTTGACAAGGGCGGCAATTTGTCAACCTCAGTAGTGCCCCTGCGGTAGTAGGCTCACCGAGTTTGGGTTTCACGGACTTTATACGTAAGAAAAGTGCTGATAGGTTTTCCTGTCTCGGTTCCTTGAACGATGTCATCCAAAGAGCTCTTGTCTCTATAAATGTTCCCTCGGTTTTAGAGCCTTGTGGCATATTTAAACTATGGCAGAAGACTCGATGGAATGACATGGTCCCTTGGGAGAGAGGTAAAACCCTGTATGGGATGCTACTTGCGTAGACGCTATGGCAGCCTTTCATCTCAGGGGTACCTCGTTTAGAGCTGGGCGGCATCCGAGCCAGCTGAACTAAGTGTCGCAAATATGAGTTTGTGAGATGTGTGAGAAACTATCAGTTCGTGGGGTCCACGTGCGGGCAAGTTCGTATGCGCGACTGGTCGTCACTGTTGTCGATAAGGGGCATGTTGTTTTCTCGCTCAATGGCTAAGTATTCATTGGCCATTCAGCAAGGAAACGCAGCCAGCGTTCTTGGGACTATACCACAGGGAGTAACTGTTTGTCAGCTTAATACTGCTACGTATGGTGAGCGTAGAGAACCGCAGACCCTTTTTACTAGTAACCAGGTAATCCACCTTTGTCATCAGGGAAGACAACGCATCTGCATTTTAATACTAAATCAAGCTTAGGGATAGATGTAGGTGTCCATTTATCACATGTACTGTTTGCTTGTTTGTCACTCAATAATATAATAAATAATAATAATAAATAAATAAATTCTTTATTTGCCTCAAATCTTTTAACAATTAAATGGAACTCTGGCTTCTAAACTAATTGTAATAACTGTATCTTAGAAACCAGTGTCTTCCCCCATTAGTCGTACAATTACAATAAATTGTGGCAACTTAAGACTAATTAGGATTCAATTAATAATTAACTAACATGCAGTAAATGAAAAACATGGAATGAGAAAAAAATGTCGCGTGGATAGTAGTCGTGTGCGTGCGCGCGCGCGCTTTGTATGTGTGTGTGTGTGTGTGTTTCTTTGCACGTGTATGCGTGTGTATTTCTTTTTCACATGTGTGCGTGTGTATTTCTTTGCACGTGCTTGCATGTGAGTTTGCTGCGTCTATAGCGAATTTAACTCATATATATACACGTTAACTCATATATACGTACAATTTAACTCATATATATACATATATATACACGTACATATATATATATATATATACAACACGTAACTTAATTAACGCACTTTGAGAAAGTAGTTTGTTCAGAATCGTTTACTGAATCGATTCCTATCATTTTTAATATAGGTAATTTTTTTATCCCAAAAATAATTAAAACTACGTAAATTACAGTCACACTAAATCTGTACAGTCAAACCCAACTGAAATGGACCGTAACTTAAGGCAATAAGACATTTAAGAGTACAGATTTATTTGTATTAATACTAATTCTGTCATTCAATAAAAATAAAGGAAAATGAACTTTATTTCAAGCACGTTAAGTCTTTGCGTTCGTGGATTTGTACTGTGACTACAACATTGTTCCGGAATTAGTATAACTAATTAGATAAATAATCATTGCATAAAAATATTTAACTAAAATTCAGTGTATGTATTATGATTATAACATAATATACTAATTCGGGTGTCTGAGGGTGTGCGTTAATTACGTTACATATTGTATATATATATATATATATATATATATATATATATATATATATATATATATATATATATACATTGTGTCTGTATGTATGGTCGAGGAGAACGATGATTGTACTTGTAAACATTTGACGGCCTCGTTGGTCTAGTGGTAGTAAACGCGTTTGCCGGTCATAAGGTCCCGGGTTCGAATCGCGGGTCGGGCCAAAATCAGTTAATGGGTTTCTCTGTCAAGAAATTCTCATTGGCAGCCCGGAAGTCAGGAAGTTGGGCGATTTCACTCCTTTACCTCGTAAAGCACGTTAAGCCGTTGGTCCTGCGACTGATTTTTGCGATCGTGTCGGATTGCCACCACATAAGACTATACAACACGTACGAATTAACTTGAGACTCCGCTGGAATGCGACCCCCTTCCCGACTCCCCGCACCGCGTCCTGCGGCGCCCTGGCGCATGGCCGTGCGCGCTCAGTACCGATAGCATTTTTGTTACGGATACGCGTCTCGACTCTAGTTCGATATTTTTGATAAATGTTTGTTGTTTGGTTTGGACTTTTGTTTGTTTTTGTTATACTTGAACGTTATTTTATCTGTTTGTTGTTAATTGCGTTGATTTATTGTTAAGGTTGCCCTAAGGTTGCCTGGGAGAGATTTCTTTTTAGCAATAAGGTCGCCTGTTATGCTTTGTATTTTTATTGTGTACGAATCTGTAACACTTTTTATAGTGCAATAAAGTGTATAATAAATATATTAATAATATTATAAATGAGAAAGTGTGTATGTTTATTTCTTTGTCCTTCCTTGACGCGTTAACTAAAAATAATATTATATATATTATAAAAAATAAATATTTAAAATATATAAAAATGGCAACAGTATATCACTTATTACTTCACCCCTTGCCAGAACATTTTATTTTGTTTTTATTAATAATCTCATGCAAATCTCAAAAATTTCAAATAAAAAAATATTATGACGCATTATTTTGCACACCGTACATTGACAATTACGTCATCGGCCCAGGTCTCAAGTTAATTCGTACGAGTTATAAGAGTGGGGTAATAGAGAGTGCACCTACACTAGTGCATACACTCGGGCACTATAATCTTGGCCTACGTAGACGGCTGGTCTCCGTTAATACTAGTCGCCGCGACTAAAAGATCTGTAGAACATTATTATTACTTACGATCTAGAAAAATCCACTTGAACCGAATGGTCAATAACTAAGTCCGCTGGGCATATGGGGTTGATTTTGTGGGGATTTCCACCTAGCCCCTTCATCGCCTCCCTCATTGCTGCGAAATCGACCACAGCGGGGACTCCGGTTAAGTCCTGTAAAGGAAAGAATGGTTACTTGGCATTTCTCATTTTCATAAAAAAGTAAACCTTATCAAATTTATATGCACAAGACAAAAAATTATAAGAAAACTAAATATCCGTGGAGATATACCTTTTAAAAATCTAATTTATAATTACCCTTTCTTCAGAAGAATGCTTTTTACATGAGCATTGAATTTATGTAAAGGCGAATCCTTAGAAGGCAAAGAATTAATATAGTAGAGCCACTCTATACTATGGTTGTAGCATCAAAACGTCGGTTCGACCAGATAAGGTCCACATTCTCAAGGAATAATAGCGTAAAATAGCAGCTTAATGCCGTTGTGTTTCGGTGTTCAGAGAACCGAAGACCCTTTAACTGGGATTAAAGCATTCTATCCTTAGTCCTCAGAGGTCACAACGCATGTATATTTTGATTCTTAACTGAGGATAAGTGTGGATATCTATGGGTCACAGCATCCAATTACCATCGGGTGGACTGTGACTGTAGACTGTGCTGACTTGTCGTTCATTAATTTCTTCATTTATACATAATAACCTATAAAAGGCCACTATTGAATAATAAATACATGCTATTTAATAATAAAAATGTCTCCACTAAAGATTGCGGTATTGGAAAGATTTTGCCAGGCAACTCTGGTGCACGCTTGGGCATGCGGGTGTTATCAGCAAGATGCTGCTACCCATCTCCTTTTTCAGTTTCTCTTTGTCGCCAGTTACAACACCCACGGGGTATTTGTGATAGTGAATATTCGTACACCGTACTATACGGTTAAAGGCTCGCTTGTCACACATATTTTATTTTTAAACATTCCTTAATATCACATGGAATCTAGGTATAGTTTATATTACACAACTACACAAAAAGCATCTCCAGTTTTATAAAACCTGTACTTTGGTAAGTAAGTTAAAATTTCTTATTCATGTTAAAGTTATTAAATTAATGGTAGAGCATTCCTCATATATATTATACAGTCTGTAGAATACGTTCCGTAAGGAAACACACAGAAAATATGAAAATTGAGAATCAAAACACAAGTGTTTAATAATTTAACATTTCTTTAGTGTTGTCCTCTTGAATATTAATTATTTAACAGTAACTTAATATAAACATTAAGCAGCATGTTAGGTGGAGATAGTTATTGTGGAACAAGCTGTGAGCCTTGTCCTCAAATTACTATCCTCACTTGTTGCACCAAGATTTGTAGAGCGTAATGCGCAAAGATATTCTGTGAAGCCATCTTGTTAATGTTTTAATATATTGAATTAATTTAATTATAAAAATCTATAGAATACTCACCTGAAGTATTACTCTAGCAGGCTTGAATGCAATCTCAACTCCACCCTCCGCCGTCTGGTTGGTCTCCCAGTCCAAAACATTGTTAACGTCCTTCTCCAGGACTTGGAAGTTGTCGCAATTACGTACACAGGACTCGAGGAGCACCCTGATGCAGAACGGCAAACGATCTGGAAATGGAAAGAATATTGTAAGCTAATATGTTTTTTAGCATTAGGTGACAAACGAGCACACAGTCCACCTGATGGTAAGTAAAAAAAAATGGGAATCAAAATGCAAATGCGTTGTCACCCCTGAGGACTAAGATGGAATGCCTCAATTTAAGTAAAAACGGGCACCGGTTCTCTACACTCACCATACGAAACACAGCAGCATTAAGCTGCTATTCTTTGGTGGTATTCTGTGAGAATACCAGCAAAGAATAGCAGAAAAATGGACCACGCGTCCTACCCCGGTCGAGCCGATCCATTCGCGCTACAACTAAACTATAATGATAAATAATCAACTAAACCATAATGATAAATAATGTAACTACATGTGCCACATACAGGTAAAGTGAATCTACAGCCTACAGCTGGGCTCAGGTCTCCCCCTTCATATATAAGTGGGTATTGAGTAACTTTACTCTTTTAGTACTAATACTGCTACGTGGCGTTTTTTCATAGAATAAGGGTGACAAATGAGCACATAGTCTACTTGATGGTAGATACTGTGGTCAATAGACATCTAAATCTATCCTTAGTTAAGAATCAAAATACAGAAACACTGTTACCCCTGAGGACTTAGATGGAATTCCTCGTTTAAAGTAACACGCTCTCCGGTTCTCTTAACTTCTCTTCACTCGTCGAGTGGCATGGGAAGTAGCGAGGAAAGGAGCCAGAGACATAGTGTGGCCACAATACTCGTAATGTCGCACGTCATGCTCCTCGGCAACTTTTTTTGGGCGCGAGTCAAAGGACTGGCAATATGAGCGTGAGTGGCTGTGGCTGGCCACACACACACGCGTAATCGCTGTCCGAGTCTCGTGCGCGGTACAGAGGCACGTCGTGTGCCATTTAAAAATCATATATAGTGTACCTATCATCATCATTCAGCCATATTATCACATGAGTAAATAATATATAGGTAGAAAGCTATCTCGACGACGACTACGTATATTTCTTTTTATTACATTAATATAATTAGCTATGATAAATATGCATAGCTCGCACGCTGAGTCCCTTTGTGTGCAAAGCGACAGTGGGAGCGTCGAAATTAATCGCTCGAGTATAGCAGTGTGTGGACAGACATACGATATACGTGGTAGAGCCATGCTATAGCTATATTAGTAGTAAAGTTGTAGTACGAAAAGGTCGGGTCGACCGGGGAGGGACCACGCCCTGACATAAAATATCAGCGTAAAATAGCAGCTTAATACTACTGTTTCGTATTGGTGAGTGTAGGAGATCCGGAGGCCCTTTTGTTACTGGAAACGAGGCATTCCATCTTAGTCCTCAGGGGTGACAATGTACCTGTGTTTTGATTCGTAATCGAGGATAAACGTAAATGTCTATGGGCCACAGCATCCACTTACCATCAGGTGGACTGTGTGCTCGTTTGTCACTCTTATTATATATCAGTTCTCTACACTCACCATACGAAACACAGCAGCGTTAGGATGCTATTTTGCGTTGGTATTCTGTGAGAGTGTGGTCCTTCCCCGGTCGAGCCGACCCATTCGTGCTACAACTATACTTCTAATATAACTGCAGCATGGCTCTACCGCGTGTAATAGTGAGTGGTGAGTGTAGAAACAGCAGCTTAATGTTGTTGTTTCATATGGTGCGAACTATGGAGAGGGCTATGTTCGGAGTTTCTCTGCGTGATAAACTTAGGAATGAGGATATCCGTAGTAGAACCAGAGTGAGCGACATCGTCCAACGGATTAGTAAGCTGAAGTGGCAATGGGCCGGCCATATAGCTCGAAGAACCAACAACCGATGGGGAAAAAAGGTTCTCGAGTGGCAGCCTCATACCGGCAGGCGAAGTGTAGGGCGACCCCCCACTAGATGCAGTGACGACCTGGCAAGACATGCAGGAAGTCGATGGATGCAGGTGGCTCAGGACCGTGCTTTGTGGCATACCTTGGGGAGGCCTATGTTCAGCTGTGGACTATAATAGGCTGCAACGGTAACTTTTATCTTTCATTGTACACATAATATATAGGTACTAGCGATCCTCGATAGTCGATTTTTTTTTTAATAGGATAAGGTGACAAACGAATACACAGTCTACCAGTATGTGGTTGCTGTGGCGCATAGACATCTACATCTATCCTCGATTACGAATCAATATGCAGATGCGTTGTCACCCGTGAGGACTAAGATGGAATGCCTCGTTTCCAGTAAAAAGGGTCTCCGGTTCTCTACACTCGCCATACGAAATACAGCAGCATTAAGCTACTATTTCACGCTGGTATTCTGTGAGAGCGTGGTTCTTCCCCGGTCGAGCCGACCCATTCGTGCTACAACTATACTACTAATATAACTGCAGCATGGCTCTACCACGATAATCGATTCCGGATCTCGATAACAGCCCGCCGGTTGATTGTAAATCTAAACCATTCAGGGACCTACTCGAATACGCACAATAAGTCTTACCAAAATCGGATAGTCCTTTAGGAGGAGTTTAGTGTCAAACGCACGTACGGAAAAAGTATGTACTTTTTACCGTCTGGATAAAAATTTGGGTGTAACATGTGGAACAGAGTAGAAGCCTATGGCACTGACATTTTACAAAAAATAAAAACAAAAAATTTGAATTAGGTACATAAATAAACAAATTAATTAAAATCTATCGAAATTAAAATCATATCCATTGTAGATGCGTTGCCGGCCTTTTAAAAAGGAGTAAGATATGTCGTAATAGGCGAGCATCTTTCTGATAACAATTGAAAATAATACAAATACGGTTCGTGACCCTCCATGAGGTAATCTACGAGTGAGGCCATTCAGCAGCGGACTTTGATATACTGTGATGATGTTAATGGCGAATGTTTACTTGAATTATACATAAGCTGGTTTGTATTGTTGTTCTTGTCTATATAAAAAAATTGTTTATTTCTTTAACTTAGGTCTACATGCATTATTCAGTATTCTGGTGGATCGCCGTGCACTTCACCCACTGGTAGCTATTCAAGATTCATGATTTCTGCTATCCATTCTAAGTTCAAGCTGCAATCCAAGCCTGTCGCTTAAGAGCATGCTCTTGGAAATATGTAAAGTGAATCCTTGTGCACAGGCTTGAGGATATAGGTATAATAGGTACTCACTTGATTTATTTAAAGACTATGCTAAGGATCGTAAGAAGAAAGTAAAGATAGGTGAATACTTAAGCGATGAATCAGATATAACACTCGGTGTTCCACAGGGCAGTCTCCTGGGTCCTACTTTGTTTTTAATTAAAAGTGAAGCACTTAGTAATGATTGTGTTGGGTGACTGTGCTCTTCCATTGGACCGAGTATTCAATATTTATTTTGGGTGCTTTTAATAGCCAAACTATGAATTTTACAATATCATCAAGGGCTAGAATAATAGATGAATGGCTAGAATAATGAAGAAAGACATATGAAGTTCGCCAACACGCATTGGGGCAGCGCGGCGGACAATTCCTTGCCCTAAAACCCTCTCAGACATGAGCGAAGGCCTGTGCTAAGCAGTGGTACGTATATAGGCTGTAAATTTTATAAACTTCAGACATTACATTATAATATTCGTGATATGCTCACACACGATTACGAGACTGACTTATTTGCTGATAGCTTTGGGCAACTAACTAACCTATCCAACTGCAGAGAGGTGTAAGACAGGGTGACGTTATATCCCCGAAACTCTTCACCGCTGCGTTGGAAGACGTTTTAAAGCTACTGGACTGGAAAGGATAAGGTATTAACATCAATGGCGAGTATATCACTCACCTTCGATTTGCCGACGATATAGTCCTTATGGCAGAATCGCTGGAGGACCTTGGCACTATGCTCAATGACCTCAATGGTGTCTCCCAACGGATAGATCTTAAGATGAACATGGACAAAACAAAGATCATGTTTAATGTCCATGTCACACCTATGCCGGTAGTTGTTGGGAGCACTATGCTCGAAGTTGTTGACGAGTACGTTTACCTGGGACAAATAGTCCGACTAGGTAAGTCCAACTTCGACCGAGAGGTCAATCGACGGCTTCAACTCGGCTGGACAGCGGTCGGGAAATTACGACACATCTTCTCGTCAGGTATACCTCAATCTCTGAAAACTAAAGTGTATAACCAGTGCGTGTTGCCAGTGATGACTTACGGATCTGAGACATGGTCCTTCACTGCTGGCCGTATGCGGACGCTCAAGGTCCCAACGGATTAGTAAGCTGAAGTGGCAATGGGCCGGCCATATAGCTCGAAGCACCGATAACCGATGGGAAAGAAAGGTTCTCGAGTGGCAGCCTCGTACTGGTAGGCGTAGTGTAGGGCGACCCCCCACTAGATGGAGCAACGACCTGGTAAGACATGCAGGAAGTCGTTGGATGCAGGTGGGTCAGGACCGTGCTTTGTGGCGTTACTTGGGGGAGGCCTATGTTCAGCAGTGGACTGTGAAGGGCTGTAATGATGATGATGATGATGATTAGGCAACTAACTATGTAACAAAGCCTTTCTATTTTTGGTATCCCATTTTGATATATATATATATATATATATATATATATATATATATATATATATATATATATATATATATATATATATATATATATATATATATATATATATATATATATTATATATATATATATATATATATATATATATATATATATATATATATATTAATCTTAGGTAATCAATTTGACAATGTCATTTTGCTGAACTTATTTGACATGTAAGCTATTTGACATTTAATCTATTTGGCATGTATTGTTTTAATTTTAAATATATTTGTTCTGTTAGACAGTTTCTCGAGTGGCAGCCTCGTACCGCGTGTGTAGAGTGACCCCCTACTAGATGGAGTGACAACCTGGTAAGACATGCAGAAAGTCGATGGACGTAGGAGGCTCAGCACATATTCTAAAGACGCATATTTACTTGCCCAGATTCGCTTCTCTTATTTCATTTTCAAACCGAAAATGACCGCTACTGGGACCG